CCAGTTCTCATCTTCCAGCTCGCCAGATACTCCGCGTACTAAAGTTGTACTACAAAGGCACGATCTCCGCAGAGGGTTGCCGGCGCGCAGGATAAATCGCACTCTCGCCTGCATTTCACGTACTCGACACACGCGATCTCCGCAGAGGGTTGCACGCACATGGGACACATCGCGCTCTCGGCTGCGTTTCGCACACTCCACGCGCACGATCTCCGCAGAGGGTTGCGCGCGCATCGGACAAATCGCGCTCTCGCCTGCATTTCACGCACTCGACACGCGCGATCTCCGCAGAGTGTTGCCCGCGCGCATAACACATCGCACTCTCGCCTGCATCTCGCGCACTCGACCCGCGCGATCTCCGCAGAGGGTTGTCCGCGCGCAGAACCAATCGCACTCTCGCCTGCATTCCGCGCACTCGACACGCACGATCTCCGCAGAGGGTTGCGCGGGTATGTGACAAGTCGCACTCTCGCCTGCATTTCGCGCACTCGACACGCACGATCTCCGCAGACGGTTGCGCGGGCATGTGACAAATCGCACTCTCGCCTGCATTTCGCGCACTCCACACGCACGATCTCCGCAGAGGGTTCCGCGCGCACCGGACAAATCGCACTCCCGCCTGCATTTCGCGCACGCGACACGCACGATCTCCGCAGAGGGTTGCACGCGGACCGCACCAATCGCCTGCAGTTCGCGCACTCGACACGCACGATCTCCGCAGAGGGTTGCACGGGAACGGGCCAAATCGCACTCTCGCCTGCATTTCGCGCACTCGACACGCACGATCTCCGCAGAGGGTTGCGCGGGAACAGGCCAAATCGCACTCTCGCCTGCATTTCGCGCACACGACGCGCACGATCTCCGCAGAGGGTTGCATTTTCGGTTGACGCTGTTCGTCCCACCCTCCGCCTTTAAGAGAGAATTTATAAAGTGGGGAAATGTTTTTCATTAGGACATCTCCTGCGCAAGTTTTCCATACTCACACTTGCACTACACTTGGATACGTATAGACGCGCAAGTCTTCATGTTCATGTTCAAGTGTAAGTGTGGAAGCGTAAGTGTTCAAGTGTACGTGTCGAAATGTCAGTGTTCAAGCGCAAGTGTGGAAGTGTCAGTGTGTGAGTGTAAGTGTAGAAGTGTCAGTGTTCAAGAGATTTTCCGGAAGAACCCTTCGCAATGCTTTCGGGAAACATTTTTCGTGACACCTCAAGTTGCCCGTTTTTGTGTAACTAGCTGTCCCTCGTCAGGCTCCGAGTGAAAGTATTTTTCATCGATGCCACCATCGAGTAAATCAACGGCGGCGCACCCATCCGACATGGAGCTGCTACAACTACGCAACAAACGCCAACTCAACAGCAACAGTCACCAACAGAAAAGGAGTTAGATAGTTAGCTTCTGTCTTTTCGAAAAAGAAAATCTCAACCACACATTGCACGAAAGTGTGAACAACGAAAGGACGAGTTTCTAACACCTGCTCCGAGTTTACCCAGCCACGATCTGAACCCAAAACTGTTTCGTGAACAAAAGAAACTAAAGGGTCAGAACAATCACGAGTTAAACCATCTACGTACACCACAAAGGAAGAAAATACAAACAACAAGGAGGACAAGGAACACCCGACAACCCAAACAACAAACCTAAAGCACACACCGTGGCTACGTCTTGAGCCTTCATGCTCATGAGACGTATGTGAAAACACAAGCGAAATTACAACACCCCCATGCTTTCTTTTTTGGGGCCCCCGTTTACGCTATTGCTTCAACTTGGTTGCAGTATCTTGAGATATGCTCTTACGCAATGCATTGACATGCCATAGCCATAGCATTTGGCTCAAGGTATGCGCATGCGAAAACAGCCGCTCGATCGCCTTCGCGCACTCGCTCTTGTGAACCTTGTTGGACTGTGAGTTGAATCCAGGGATACCGTGCATTACACTCCACTACGGGGAATTTGACCCTCACCCCACCCCCCCACCCCCCACCCAACACCATGATGTGATGACATGACCAAGCGTCGTGGAGTCCAAAAATGTCAGAAAAGTGGGTCCGGCTTTCAGTCCCTAGGCAGAAACGTGGCCAACTGAGACGACCACAGCAACGGAGAACCCAGTCGGGGAGTGGACCTGCAGAGCACATTGCCCAGCACTTCTTCTCTTCTTCTTAACTTATGTGTCTTCTTCTTAACTTATTGTTATTCTTAACTTCTTCTTCTTCTTCTCTTTTGTCTCGTAGAGGCTTTTAAGTCATGGCTCACTTTGAGATGCGTGTGGATTTTGATCCCGAGATCAACACGGGTCAGGACTGCTAGTCCAGGGCCTTGGTCAAAGCATCAAGCTAAGAAATTGAGAAGTTCATAGCTTCTGCTGAACCTAACCTATAAGCGTGTTCGTATATGCCCGTGAGATGCATTAGAGCTGCTTCACTTGCAAACCTTCAAACTGGCATTCAGCAAATTGCTTTAAATGCAAACGCACATTGCTCATCATTCCTCTAGCTGGCTCATTGGAAGTGAATCGAGCTCTTCATGAATGCCATATCGCTCTACACTTTCCAAGCCCTCCCGAAACCGGTGCCTCTACATGGGAAATTGGGTTCAAAATGGTCGTGTGATTGAACATGCAAGCAGCTTTTGTTGCAGCAATGGTGAAAGAGAAGTGCGGTACTTCAAGAAATCTCACCAACCTGTGACAGTGACTTGTGCAAACGCAAAACACTTAGAATAGTGGATAACAATCCAAAAGATTACAAACGAATTCAACTGTTGAGCCTTGAATGAAGGTTGTTTGCAAGTATTACATTACTATCCTAAGGCTGAGGTGCACACCTGGACATAGTAGGCTGGTGGCTTTCCCACAAGAATCCAAACAAGAATACAAAAAAAAGACATGCATCACACAAATCCAGGTGTGCACAAAACCTCGGAACATGCACATACATGCTCAAAATTACGTGAGGATATTCAAGCTCCTACTAAAGTACATACAACAGCATCGCTTCTATTCCAATACCTTGGACTTTCAGGCTTTCGAAACCCTAGTTTGGTTGCTTCGGGTTGCTCCATTCACACCAACTTACAAATTCTTTGGATGTGGAATCTGCCTCTGAGAAGCCAGCGCTGCAGAACCAGGTCGGGTCACCTGAGTCTCTCTGCAAACCCTTTGCCTTGGTTTGATGTATTTGTATAATAGTGTCCCTTCAAAGGGTGCCCTGCCTTCTCGTTTGTTTTTCTCTTTGTTCAATTTCGTCAAAGGATCTGGCTGGTGTTGGTGTCCGTTCGCGTTCGGATGGCTGGGAAGGCCTTCAAGCGGTGAAAAGAAAGCACCTCATGGTGTCACACCTTCACGCCCTGCCTTCTGGAGGACCATGGTCTGGCTTGGCCTTGGGCCCGTGCCCGCTGTGCCTGGCTTCACATCAAAAGGCCCTTTGCAGTTTTCTGAACATACAGTGCTACAGGCTGCTACACTGTGACAAACTCGTTGAGTTGCTTTGGCCACTTGGGTCTCAAGACTTGACGCGGGAGAGCACTGATATCGTTGCATCAGATTGAGACCCTGACATCAGCTTTCATACCCGGCTGTCCTGGCTGGGGGCAGGCAGTGCCAGAGGATGCTCCCCGAAAGAAACTTTGAAGACGAATCAACCAACACCTCCAAAGAACTTCTTGTGGCAATACCATGGCTATGCGGAAGTGATACAGTAATGGCGTTGTACATTCTGTGCAATGTGAGAATTGCGTGGCTGAACAATTCAAAGTTGTGAGAGTGGTCAATTGCAGCAACGGGGCAACTGTGATTCTAAGAATCCGGAGTTGTGAGTGTGATCAGTTGGACAAGCATGACCATCTCAAGGCAAGCGCCTCGGCAACTGTGTGGAAGCAAATTTCTATGTCCGGTCCAGTCTTGTCATTCCCCTGTTTCGTCTGAGGTCATGGCAATCTTTTTCGCTTGCAAGGTCCAAGTTTCGACCAAGGTGGAGAGTACAAAAGGAAGACTGATTGGAAGAAAAAAACAGCAACTTAATTGAACCAAATGCTGCAGAATTAATCCAAATCAATCCTTAACATTCAACGAACGAACTTCACAACTGCATGGAATACCGACTTTTCGCTGGGAAGCGAATGATCTGCGCAACGAGCAACCAGTGCCGGTCACTTGTATTTTCCTTTGTAGACCTCCAAACAAAGTCATGAATGAATCTGAAAGATCTGGATTGTTGGTTGGATGAATCTACAGTATATAAATTATATAAATGTGATTTATATAAATGTGATATAAGGACAATTACTTGAGCGGAGGACCGGCCTCTTTTCCTGGATTGTGCTTTTTGGTGACAAGCACCCCACCCCAATTAGCCTCAACTTTGGAAAGGATCTGTGCAATGTCTGCAGGCATCTGAATGTGCACCTTCCAGTATTGGTAGGTCCTGATTCGTACTTTTCTGTTCTTCCAATCGGCCCGCATGAAGGGACCCCTGCACACAGTGGCTGTGAGCACTGATCCAAACTGCGCCACAATGTAACAGGTCAGGCGGACGAAAAGTCTGCATTTGGCGTCTTAGTGAGATGTTGATTGGCTTCCTGGCCAAGTGACCCTGACAACTCTAACTCTGTTTGGTTCTGCTGTTCTGCTTCTGTTGGAACAATATCAAACCATATCAAACCTGTAATGACAAAACAAATCGACGCACAAACCTCATCAAGCAGTCGATCACTAAGAGCTGGAAGTGGAAGGATCGCATCCGCCTAACAGACTCATGCCACCTTGTGCTTTTGAAGGCCCCTATTTAAAGGGGCCCTAGTAAGATGACCCAAACGCCTTCTTGCTCCCTCTCTTTGTTTTAAGATGTTTTAAGACCTTCCCAAATAGTATTGCCTCAACGCCCTTCGCACGATGGCCGGTCTTGCAGAAAAAGCCGTCCTGTCCGTTTGGCAAGCAAGGCGTGACACTTGTCATCAAACTCTGTAGGTGAATCGGTCAGAGCCTCATCGAAAGCCTGACAAAAAAGTGCCCTCTTGCAGGTGAAGCTGAAAATGGAATAAGAATGACAACCGCCACAAAGATGCCTCTTGCGTGCTACGGGGCCGCCCCCAATACTTGGAAAACAGGCCCTTACCACGGACATGAAGGTCGCCTGCGAAGACAATGAAAGTCACGTCCAAATGATTGGTGAAACAAACAAAAAATGAATTAATCAATCAAAATTCAGCATTTGTTTAATTCGACTCATGTGGTGAAACAAATTGGCCTGTTTTCATGCGCCACTCAAGGCCGGGAGCGCAGTGGCCAACATGAGGTGACTCCCCCTCAAGGCTGCAAACCAAATCTTGGCATCACAACATGCGTTGAAATAGCAAAAGAAAAACATCCGTGACCTCCCGCAAACAAAAGTGAAAATCAAATATGTATGATCTGTCATACGCTGACAAGTACATTTGGAATCTGCTACGTGGAATGCCACCAGCCTCCGACTTCTGAACTGTGAATAAGGCTCCAGCCTTCCAACTACAACAAGTTTAAGTGAACGATCTTTCAAAGGATCAGTTTTGAAAACAACATACTCTGACACAAGCTATATACAAGGGTTTTTGCCGGCTGCCCACCACATGCAAAGAAAAGAAGATTAGGAAACCAGCCCAAGCCAATTTGGCCATGTTCCAGGCAATCCTGTACAGAAAGTTATAGACAAAAGCGAGAGCCTATCATCCCCTCTGTCACTGTCCAATGCTGTGGCGACGCGTCCATTAGGCGCAGCGAAAATTGGCGCGAAAAACTGTGCAATTGCCAGTGCCATGGCCGTTGGTCCCAAGGAAAGTGCCTCAGGGCCTTGGTACGCACAACTCGCACGATCTGCACCCCTCGCAAAAAGAACATGTTGGCTCCAAAGGCAAGTGGGCTGTGGCAGGCCTGTCCACCGCACGAACGCACCCTTGAAGGTGTCTTTCTTGAATTGGTGCCTGAACAAGCTGTCAGCAGCATCTTTGATGAAACTTGCATGTTTCCACGCCTGCTGAAAGAGGCTGTCTGTGGCTCAAGCAGCGTCAGGTCCATCCGCCAAGGTTGCATAGCCCTCTGCAAAGTAGGACCGGCTGATGCCAAGTACCTGAAGAATGTGAGAACTTCCTCTTTCAGAGGAAGCAAGTGGATGTCTCACTCACTCCGACCTTGCCTGTCTTGCAATAGCAACTACTAGGAGCAGCATTGCAACAAAAAGGATGCCGGTTACCTCGGCAGCCAAAGAGTCTATGTGCGGCCCTTTCGGAAGAACCATGTCCACGTGACCTAGTAACGACTAAGCTTTTGTCCATCAAGAGGCTCTGGCCTTGGATCCAGCATTTGTCATTGGGGAGATCGATTGTGGATAGTTTGATACTGATTCTTTGTTCTGTGGATCATGTAAAGAATACTTGCGAGTCTCAGCCAATTCACAGACAAGCCACTGCGCTCATCTGCAGAGAGGGCGATGGTTTTCTCCTTGGCAAACCCGTATTGAGGAGATCCTGAAGGCACTGATCCTGGCCTCGCCCAACAGATCGCAAGCGCAAGCTTCGCGCCCATGACCTGCAACAATCGGAATCATTTGATGCTTAGACATATATATATATATATATATCAACCCCAGTTGCCTGCGACTATTTCGGCACCGATCATGCCCTGATCCTGGAAGTCTTTCAAACGCAACACATGCAACCATTGGTTTGATGAGCACTCGTGAAACAAAATGAAACTAGGATAAACTAGGGACGCTCAATCATTGAAGCTCTGTCCGAGTGAGAAAGAGCGTGGCAATGCACCTCAAACACGTTGCAATGGGTTTCGTGTGCGTTCACTGTGGCAGCTGGTGGAGGTACCGACAAAACCAACAAGACTCAGACTCAAACCAGAACATACAAAAAAACATGCTACGGCGGCTACGGCTGTGCTATGCATCCAAAGCACCACCTCAGGTCCTGAGAAGTCCACAGTGCTGAATCGGACACGAGCCTTGGAGTCTAGCACATTCTGGTAGGTGTCGTGCCAGTCACCAGCCTAAACAATTATATAGGGGTCATTGGGATCTATTGAAGGGAGAAAAAAGGAAACAATGTTGCAATACTTGTATGTTCCGACATGATCTGCATGTTCTTACTTTGCTTGTGCGACAAGTAACAAGTCCTGTTTTGCATCGAACAACACCATCTCAGGCCTTAAAGTAAGGATCGTTCCCTGCTGGTGTATCTTGCAGCTGGAACGGCCAGGTGTGCTGGTGAAAGCCTGACAAATTATTGAGCGGGTCAATATGAAGCTGTCAGAAAACGACGGAAACGTGTGACTACAGTGTATGTATGTATTGAAAATATATATATGTATACATATGTATTTGTATGTATGTATGTATGTATGTATGTATTTTTTTCTTCTGAAGTGTTTGCTTCGTGGGCCTTTTTGGCCGGTTTGCTAGGGCTGGTGACTCAGATCCGTGCTGCCTGTGCTCAGAAGTAGTCGACATTGAACGAGTGGTCATCAGGTTCACTGTCTGGACTTGGCTGGCTGGCAGTCTCATCCTTGGTGTGTCGGTGGCTCTACTTGAGCTACTGTTTGGCGCCTGTGCTGCCACTTGGCTGGGGTTCATGGCCAAAGCAGCTGCGGCGGCCTTGGAGCCTTGTTCCTGTAGGTCCAGGTCAATCTCCGTGGTGTAGGCCTTGGGTGCTCTTCTGTGCTGGACAGAGTTGTCCGCCTGTGGTCAAGTTTTGGTTTCTTGACCTGTTCTTGCAAGGCCTGAGAATCCTGTGGTGCCAGTTGACTGTTGTCACCAGAGGAATCCGGTGAGCCGTGCTGTGATGCTTGCTCTAGCTGTTTCCTAAAGATTTCCGTCAGCGGTGTAGAGCTGGTTGCTGCCTGAGCCTTTGCAGGGCTTTTTGACAGCTGCTGTGAGGATGAGCCGCTGTTGGCCATCCAGATGCAGGGTGGTGCCACACTGTGTGCATGCGACTTTACTGCCCTTTTGCCACAGTGCATGACTTGTGTGGCCATGGCTGATCAAGGCATTGTCCTTGAACGAAGGCCTGAAAGACTTGTTCGTTGCTTCTCTTGTGGACGTTGGTGCCACACCTCACACACCGTAGGTGTCCAGCAGTTTCTTCAAGCTCATGCTGCTGTGGTGGCGGCTTCACCTCTTGCTGTTGGTGCAGGAGGTGTTTGATGACCTGGGTTCTGGTCAATTTCTTTGGCATGGGCTGGTGCGGTTTCTCGGCGCCGGTATTTGGTCCTCAATGCTGAGTTGGGGACATTCTTCATTGAGGCGCTCCTCAATGACTTGCACTGTCAGTGCCTAACTCGTACTCCACATGCACCACATTGATGTCCACTTCTATGTGGCGCCCAGCGGTGAGATGGAGCCGACCAGGGTTTGCTGCACTTAGCAATGAGCTGCTTCTTGTACTGCTTTGTTTGCTTGCCTTGGTGCCTGGGTGGCTTTTGGTGTATGTAGTGGTCTTTATCACTGTAGATCTTGGCCAGGCGGTTTATGGCATGGGTGTAGATGAGCTTGTGGTCTTCATCTAAAACCCGCTGCCATTCTGTGCGCTTGTGGTCCTGGTATTGTTTGGCCCTCTCCCAGGCAGCTAAGGCTGCATCTCTCTGCCGTCTGCGGAGCTGTGGTTCACTGCCTGGCGCTTCGGGTGACCTGGTGTTCCTGGAAACATAGAGGGCCATTACCCTGTGGAAGTCATGCTCT